GTACAAGGCAACTCAAAACACCTAGAGCATTTATATACTTGACAAATAAAAATACAGTGGTAATTACCATCCCTGAGTAACACTTCATTTTAAATATAATAAACAAAGTTACTCAAATGTACCTGTGTATGCAGATGTAAATATGTTAAAGTTTGTTAAAAGATGAAGATCTGAATAGGCAACTTGCCCTTTAAAGATGCAAAGTACAACTGGTTTTGGAAAACTTAAATACTACATTTAAGCAAATCAAGCTGTTAACTCTACAAGCTACTTAACAGTTGTGCTAAATGTATTTTATTTTGGTTTCACTGATCCTGTGTATTGCATACCAACATTTTCCTTAATGAAACAGTAGTAGCTTAAGACAATGTGTATCTTTTTCATTACTAACCATTTCATGTATTGTGTATTCTGAAATGGAGTGAATTTGAAAGTCAGAATGAAGAACAGCGTCTTCTAATAGTTCAGACTTCAAGCAAGAGTCACAAGGTGTAGATTTTAACAAGTTTCAGTACCCAGCTTCTACATTCTCCTATCTTCCAAAAGGTGCAGGTGTTAAAGTATTTAACACAAAGATCTACATTCAATGGTCTAGCAAGTAGATGGTGCCCAGTTTTTCAGATACTTAAGTAGCTTAGCCAAGGTGAAGAGACAGACAATGTTATTTTATTTTCCCAGCTATGTATGACTAATAACATTTAAGGTAATACCAGCCTCTTTATTGCTGAGGAAGAAAAATGGCAACTTCATTAACAGGCACTGCTAATAATGAAAAGTTAATTTACAGAAGTAAAACATCCTGAATACTGAAAAATAGTGCATACATCAAAAGAATTTACTTTGTTCTCTTATTTTCTTGTGCAGTGTTAATATTGTTCATTATACTGCTGGTTATTCACAGCTTGATCATCCATCTTTGGCTGTGGACAAGCTGTATCAGCACAAGTAGAATCTATTTATTTCATTTACAGCACTGCCAAATTAACAATGACTTAAACATCAACCAGCTTTCTAGGTCCTTACCCTGATCTCTATCTTTTTTTAAACATTAGCAGGTCTGAAGTCAAGAGATTAAGTAATAAAGTATTTCCTTTATTATAACACACGTAACATTAGAAATTTAATAGATCAAGAAATGTGTCATATATGAGTAAGTTTACAAGTACAAACAGAGATTCCAGATTAACAATATTTTAGCTGTCAATTCAAATTGAAAGAATATAGTATTAAAAGCCCACAACACTTGAATTAAGTATCAATTACTTTCAAGACAAACAACCTGCTTTGAGCAGGAAGTAGGACTAGGTGACTTCTGGAGTCCCCAGATAGGATTTGGGACTATGTAACTGAATTATTACCCATCTGCTTAACATTGAAATACGAATAAAAGCTTTACAAAGCAGTCATAAAATGCTTTATGTTACTAAAAGAGGTAAAACCTATCTATCTTTCAGTTATTCGCTATCAGTTGCTTTTTCCCAGCCACTGGCTGACCTATGGTTATGTCCATTTGATTTATAAATCAGGTAGTCTAAGAATTACAGCATCAGTTACAGCAAACAAGCAGTATTAGAAATAATAAAAGTACTGGAATGTAACAAAAGTGACATCCACTTTGCAGGATAACAGTTACTTGAGTTCCTTCACATGATGCTGAAAGAAAAGAAAAAACAAATACAACTTTAACAAAAATGCTATCAGGTTATATAGCCTCACTAGCTGTATCTTGTACTAATTCAGTATTGATTAGTTAATGATTTTGCATCACCAAGTAATAATTTGGCCCTAATAAGGCCACCAATTATTTGTATTAATACAGAATTAATAAATTTTGTGCAACAGAATTTACATGGTTGTTCATATATAAAACCAGAAAATTTGCATAAGGTTCAGCTGTTCAGGGTATCTGTAATTCACTTGTACATCTTACTTTCCAAGTACAAATTAATGCAGAACAGTTGTTCCAGTTTGTTAATACAATCAGCTTTAACACACTGAAATGTGTCCTTTCCTCAGACCCTTCCAGTGCTCAGACAGAACACTAGTGACAGAATGAACAAAGAGGAGAGGATTTGAACAAGTCTGCATCAGCAAGCGTGACTGAAGCTCCCATAATACAGTAAAGAGATACTGAAGTATTGTATTTTTCAGAAGTCTATAGGTGTTGTCAGAGTATGACCTAAGTTAATTACCTTCTTAAAAAAATCAGGTTTCTTGATATCTAGAAAATAGGGGGGAAGAATGCAACACGTTTCACTTTGTTTATGCAAACAAAAGATGTGTTTCACTGTCCCAGCCATTAAATAATTTTTGCCTACAACTCTAGCACTACAAGAGGTTGCACTCAAAACCCAGCACAGTCTCATTCTTCTCACCGAACTCAAAAATGCCAGGAGACTTCCTCGCTGGAAAGGATTTGTGATGGCAAGCAAAACTCTTCCCTTGAGAAGTACAGCAAATAAGACCTGCTGAAGGTCACTTCACTGGATGATATAGACACCTGTGATACAGGGGACATCCCTTACCCTATTTACTGCATGATCTTTGATGTCTTCCTTAAGCTTTTTCAGTTTCACAGGATTCATCTGAATAGTATATCCTAACAAAAGATGTGAGAACCCCTTTTCAGTGTTGCAGTTATTGAGAATGAATTTTTCAAGTCAACAAAATATCTGGTTTTGCCTTTTAAAGGTTGTTTTTCAGGAAGAGCAAATTACTGCTGATATCTGCAGTTTTCCAGATAGGTTGATCTGGACTGCTCATCACAGAAAATGAAAACAGCACACTTGAAGCCAAGACAAAGAATGTGAATTTAAAAAAAAAAACCCACAAAACTAGAGAAGGCAGTTGCATATGAATGATAATAGCTTCTCCCCTTTACTATCAGGTCAAGCAACTTCACGAAGAAGCTTCCCCAGTCTGGGTAAAAGCTGCAGGTATTTGGCCTGTACTCCCCACAAACATCCATTCTCACTAATTGCTTCTTTTCACCATCCAGAATGGAATCTTACAGAAAAAGGATATTCTTCCCCTTAGGATACTTGCATGTTCTCCAGTTATTCTACATGCCACAAAATGTCAAGACTCTAAAAGTATAAACTAGACATAGAGAAGGAATCCTTAAATGGTCTTAACAATCTTTAAATGTCTAACAAAGCAGTTCATACAACAATATCTTTATGTGCTTAAAACAATTCAGTTATTTACCTGAAGGACTTATCCCAGGAGTGATACAAGCATCACAACGCCCATGAACTGAATGAAGAGCAACAAAGGTGTCATAAACGACCAGACAGGCCATAATGCAATGTTGAAACTGGGAATAAAAGCAACAAGTTTTTGGTAAATTCAATTGTCATACTATGGAAACAAAGAAATCAAAGAAAACAACAAAAATATGGCAGAAGAGGAAATGAGATTTAATTACTCTACCTGGAAAAATACTTGTTTATTTATGACTTGAGAGAAAACAAAATTAAAAGACCCCAGCACCTACTTATTAAATTGGTAGTTTAGTTTACTGCTTATTTACTGACAACTCATTCTAAAACTTCAGTAGCTGCTGCAGATTATACACTGAGCAAGTCCACTCAGTTCCATCAAGGGCAAAGATAGCTTTTACTTTCAGAATATCTGAAGCACCTGAAAATGAACTACTCAATATCTCCATGGGCATACAATGGCAACTGAGAAAAGCCTTGATTTGTACTTCCAGCCAAGCAGATCTGAGTTAATTGAAGAGAAAGGGGGGAAACCAATTCATTTTGCAACTCAGTTACAAGGGTTATAGATCAGACTAATGCCAAACTGTAAGGAACTGTTACCTTCTTCACTCTTCCTTTTTTTCCCCTCCATTGCAACAAATACTGACTGACATTATTCAGATACATCTAAACTTAAAGAGAGAATCAGCTTTCATGTAGCAAGCAAACAAATATACTGGTGCACATACATAGTATTTTTTCATTCACATGCACATTTGCTCAATTCTGATTCCTGTAATCTCAGAAATACAGTAGCTCTTACTTTAAGTACCATTCTCTGACAAGGTATAAACCCTTAACGCTCATATAACAATAGTCAGAAATATACATTTCAGTATATGTTTGCTATTTACAGATTGTTTGATAATGAAGAACTCTGTATTAGAAACTGACCAGGCATATTTTTTTTTCTCAGCTAGAAAATACACTTTTGTCTTAATTTGTAATCCTCACAAATAGTTGTCAGAGGTGAGAAATTTACACTAACAAAGCTAAGGACTTCAGTTTTCCTATAAATTTTCAAGGCATAAAAGATCCAACACATCTGCAAGTACACCTAACATACAGTTTTGACAGTTGCAACTTTTGCTTTGTGGATGACTGTTGAAAGTGGAAGAAATTATGCTATGTAGAACTGGTATTGTCACCAATACACTTAGTGCAATTAGAGAAATTATACTTTTTATACAATGGTCCCATTAACACAGTCAGACTTGCACAGGTTCAGCAGAAGTTTGTACACAGTGTTCAAACTTACCAAATTGCTGCTGCAATAAAGGTAGCTGTTGTGACAGGTATCAGTGCTGGATACTGTGCATCATAGTCCTCAATTCCACAATACCACTCAAGATACAGGATGCAGTAAAAGGCAACAGATAAACATGCAGCCAATAAACAACTGCCAGAGGCAAACCACCAACTGTGGGGGGGGAAAGCACGTTAAAGCATGTTAAGCACATTCACACTGCAGTTTGCACATTAATCTTCATTCTAGTCTAGAAGCAGAACAGACAATACCTGTTAATTATACCATTGGCCCAGAGTTCCTGTAGGTTTTTTTCTTAAATTACTTATAAAAAAACACTTTTTCCCCTTCTAAAGCTGTCTCACATACATAACTAATCAAGTTTAATTTTGTAATGCAACATTCTCATCAATTTGTTTTTCCCTCAAGTATTTTGGAAATGCAACGCAACAGACCTTGTCAGTGATCTACCACACGAAAAAATACTTTATCAGTAATGAAATAAAATAGTCTCTACCTCAACTGTGCTCTAATTTAACAGACAAGAGTTTTCTTTATAGCAGCTGAAGAAAACCATAGAGAAATACAGGATTTCAAACTCAGAATCAAGAAAGCACAGAGTATGTGACTACTTAGGAAGACACACTTTCGAGCCTCTTTGAGGACATATGTCAAGAGTAAGATGAGAAAGACAGCTTGGGAGAAAGGTGTACTTTAATAAAATCTTATCTGAATGTATATTTAGGAAATAAAAATTTTAAAAGTTATTTTTTATTACCATAGTTTGATTACTGAATTAGAAAGAGTAGTCAACTACTCAAGTACCATTTGCTCTGGTTTGGTATCATATGCTATTTTGGTACCTCAGTACTACTAATTATGAAAGCTGCATTAAGAGAGCAGTCACCGTAGTCTACCTAAACAAGCAGTGCAGGAAGACAGGGTCCTGCAGGGAGCAGACGGGGATACTGAAAACCTTGATCACATCCTGGAGTCATAGTTTGCATCCACAGCTAACTGGATGTAGGGTGTATCTAGACCAACCTGGAAGAGCAGCTCCAGAGAACCTCACAGCACAGAGCAAGGCCCTGTTCAGCTTCCACATACTGATACAATAATGACAACGACAATGAGAGAGTTTTAAAAGCACTTCCAGGTGAAGCTATCTAAAAATACTTAACATCCATCAATCCCACTGAAAATAATTTCATAGCAAAGAAACAGAATATAAATTATTTCATAGAAATTATTTCACTAATCTTTCACTGGCCTACTCAAGAAATTAGAGAACTTCTAGAGAAATAAACTTCATTTTGACATTTAAAGATTAAAATAAAACCAAACTCCCAACCTTTCAACAAAACAGGCAGCAATTTCTTGTACTTAAGTGTAAACTTCAAGGTACAGTATTAAACCAGCCTGTTATTAAAACAAATTTTGCATGTACACAGATGACTTGGCAGAGCTTTAAGAAAAAATAATTATAGCAAAATTGTAAGCATTGTGTTTACTTAAAAATTAGTTTAATAATAATGGCTTAGGTGGTCATCTGGTCCAACTCCCCTGCTCAAGCAGGGACATCCAGAGCCAGTTAAGAGTATCTCCAAGGATGGAGACTCCATGACTTCCCTGGGCAATGTGTCCAAGTGCCCGGTCACCACTGCAGTACTAAAGTGTTACTTGATGTTCAGAGAGAATCTCCTGTCTCTCAGTTTTTGCCCATTTCCTCTGGTCCTGTCACTAGGCACCACTGAAAACAGCCTGGCTCCACCTTCTTTGCACTCTCCCTTCAGGTATATTTATATATATATATTGGTAAGTTCCCTCTGAGCCTTCTCCAGGCTGAACACTCCCAGCTCTCTCTATTCCTACTGTAGATTTTGTTTATCCAAGATTTAAAACAGTGTTCAAATGTAACAAACTGAATATGACTATAAGACAACAACACAACTTTCTTTGTAAGAAAAGGTACCTTACCTATTTGCTTGAATAGTTTCTTTAACAGTTCTTAAAAAATCAAAGTAGTATGTCACAGCAATAGATGCCAAAATCCAGAATGCAGAATGAATATTTAGTCTGGTAAGAGGCTTCCTCTTCTTCTCTACAGCTGTAGACTCTTCTGTAAATAAGAACATAATTACAGCACTAAAGCCAGTCATTAAATGGAGTATGATTACAGTTACGTAAAACATGATGCTTTATCCCTTTAATTCATTTATCTTCAGAGATTATACTCAGTATAATACACTTTGTATTACAGAGGAAGTATTCTAAAAAACTCTGTGTATCTTCTGAAACAAAACACACTAAGCAAGGTACCCTTTGATAAAACATGAAAGCAGTAACAATCAACACATACGGTGTGTATCTTCTTAGGAAATTAACAGCTGACTAGATTTTTAAAGGGTTATTTAATTTAAAACGTCCTGGTGTCATTATTTTTATTAATCTAGCATATAGAAAGTCAAGTTGGTATTTCTGATTACTGATTTATTTGTATCCATTTTGTTGATTTTACTATTTGCAAACTATTTTCAGCCATAAATAATTTTCTTGTACTCAACTGCAGTTACTTCACAAGATTTTCAACGTCAGTTTCGGGAGCTAGCTTGATTCACGCTGCATACCTTCAGCAGGTAAACTAAAACTACCACTATGCAGAAAAGTATCTTTTCTTTTTTCCCTCATCACCACATATTGTTTTAGAGGGACAGACAACAGAGCGAGCATTCAAAGCGCTGGTTTTGTTTATGACAGTAACCAACTAACACATGCAGTACTCATCCACACTGTCAGAAACAGGCGTCACAGGTGCCTCTGATGTTTCATACTTTGCACTTTATCATTAGACGGTTCGGCGTTTGGATGCGGGCTACTCCGCACGCGTTATCACCGGCCGAGGGTACTAACAGCTCTACTAGAGTTTACAGCCGGTTTTATTTTTTTTTTTATTTCCTAGACTCTTGCTCAACTACTAGGGCTTGGGTCTGGAGCACTTAAGCACTTCATCCCCACCAAGAAACCCGCGGCTGCAAGCCTGTCACACCACGCACATCTCTCCCTTTTCACAACCCAACTCTGTTAACGAGCTGGCTGCGAGCAAGCGCTATCCCGCCGCCCCTTTACCGGCGGAGGCCCCTCGCTGCTGCCGGGCGCGGGGCCCGTCCCCTTCCCCCG